GTGACTCGCCCCGTACTCTTGCGAGTATTCGGACCAAGATACGGGACATACAGAAATTCTTGATCGGTAATGGCCAGTTAGGTGGGATTATGTAATACTTTTTTTTTTTTGTAGCCGTTGCTCGGTTCGTGGATTAGGCTTATAGGGGAGACCACGTAAAAAAAAACTGTCGACGTGGGAACGTCAGTGGATTATGCCTATTGGGGATACCACTTAAAAAAAACGCGCTTTAGCTGATACCCCTTGGGTAGTGTGGAAATGCAGCTAGTACCTGGGCATTGCAGCTGTCTAATTTAAGAAAACTTTATTTTTTAAATCTTTTAATAAAAAAGTAATGTTTTGTAAATTATTGTTATACTTGCAGCAGTTATTTGTACATACTAAATAAGAAATTATTACTAAGGAAGAAAAAAAAAATCATATCACAATAATAATAGCTGTAGCCATATAAAACTATTAAAACATTTTGTTTTTCATAACTATGGACTTAAAACCAATTGATTTCAACTTTAAACTTTTTTCTGTGTTTATTAACTATTGATCTATTTTAATATGATTAGAGCGCGGATTCGTATGATTTTACATATTTATTCTGGTTGATGGTATGATAATATTATGCTAATAGTGAGTACAAAATTTGTTTCATGACGATAACGATTTAAACTGTGAATCATTTGGGCTGCATAATACGACAATTAACTAACTTTTTTCGTTTAAGGACTTATTTAAGATTTTATTGCATATTTCTGTGTTTTTTTTAGACATTTTTGAATTAATTACTATATAAGTATTGACATTTTTCTATATGAGATAAAGAGATCTTATTTGCTTCATGTCATTCTGATTCCAAATAAATCAATTATTTATTGATCTATTTGTATTCGATCTAATGTGTAACGGAGTGGTGCATATCCCAGACAGCAAAATAAAGTTATTGAAATATTCCGATAAGATTTGAAAAGCAACGTATAATGTTATAGAAACTTTTTAATCTAGTTTTAATAATATTACTGGAAAGTTAATATAAAGTTATATAGTCATGTTTTGTCATATTGTAATTTAAATTTTTATTATACATTCCGACAGTTATAACAGTAATCAACATATACCTAAGTATAAGTTATAACAGTTATAAACTTATAAGTATAAGTTATAACTTACATTTTCCACAGTATTTTGACTTTACTATCTCATATCTGTATTTAAAATGGAAAATTCTCAAAGCAGGTAACTATTGTAATTATTATTTATTAATTTAATATATGTATTTATTTAATTGTTTAAAAATATTGATTTATTTATGTTGTAGCAGTAACCAGAATCAAGACAAGTTCATAAAAAGTCACGACAAAGACGTAGAAATGACAGCAATCTTTGTTTTAATTGACTTTATGGTGCAACATCCACATGTAGCTAGTGGCAAATTTAATTGCATAAATGGTAAAGATAAATTAAATGGTTCATGAGAAGAGTTAGTGAAACAACTAAATAATTTAAGAAACCCGGGCATTAAAGAAAAGGATGTAAAATCGTGGAAAGAGGTTAGTATTGAATAAAACAAAAACAACTTTTTTCAATTTAAAATAGTTTTACCAGAAATAAAATTTAGAAAAACTTAAACAAAAATATTGATTTTGTATTATATACAAAACAAAATCATAACATAAATGTCAAGTTTCAAAAAAATCTTTAAGTGAGAAGCTGCCCCTCATTAAATAATAGTGTAGTCTTTAACCACCTTTCTTAATATTTATAATATAATATGTTTTTAGAAATGATTAGGTACCTACCCTTTATGAGTACAAGTGGATTTTTTCTTGTAGTCATGGAGAGACTTAAAAAGTCTCCAAACAAGCATCAGCCCTGCGGAATGCTAGAAGGCAGACAAGAAATAAAAAAATTAATATCCAAGAGTTGACTGACTCAGAATAAAAAGTTTAAGTTTTATGGGCTATGACTATGTAGAAGGGACATTATGTCCAGATTCTTGGCCTGAAGAACAAGAATTGAAATATATTTGATTTATAAAATTAAAAAATTTTAATGTAACACAAAATACTATATTATGCACATTTACTATATTATTTAGTCTGAAGATGTAGAACGTATGGATATATTACCATTTTAGATGCTTGACCTATTATGTTAACAATGAAACCGGATATTGATCACGACAGTAATTATTTACTCATTCTTAGAAAACAATTCTTTAAGGACAATTAATTTCTAATATATGTATCATTTAATGTAGGTCATGATGATAACTTCTTGCTTAGTGAGGAAAACTTAAACAATGTTGAGCAGGAATGCATTGATTTTGATGAAAATATTAATGTCGAAGAAACACCATTCATTGCATCTACAAGTAGTACACTTCTGGCCCCTAACTTGCACACCTTCCTCATCTAATTTAAAAAGAAAATTATCGCCAGTATTCAAAACACACAAAAGAAAATTGTCTCAAAATGAAAATAACATGGGTAGTAGTAATTGTTTTTTTTTTTAAATTTTATACTGCAATATTACTATAATAATTTTGATTTTAAAAATTTGAGAACACAATTAAGTGATGCAAGAGATACGTTTACAAAGTTGGCTGAAACCAATGCACAAAATACAGAAGTATATAATAAATAAATATGTATAAAAGTGGCTCAAATAATTAGGTTTTCATTTGCTCTGGTATTAATTTGTTTTTAAAAAAATGTGCATCGATACTAGACACTAATATTTGTACAATATGCATTTATTTGCATACATTTTAATTTCTTAACTACATCCTTGTCCCTCATTTTAAATAAAAAAACAAATTAATTTTCAAGTACTAGATAATAAATATTTTAATATTATTTTAGCAGAACATGAGTTTATAATATTTTTTAATATATGGAGTATTTGTAAAACTTTACAGAACCGATCAGACATCATAACCCACTTGCGAGTGCAATTAACACGAATGACAGACAATGACGGAAGGAGAGAATAACAATGATGAAAATTTGGTTATTATAATGAAAGCAATTGATTGAAATAAATAAGTAAAAAATTAAATTAATAAGTAACAGAATTGAATTCAACTCATGAAAATATGTTAGTCATTTTTTTTGTTTATGTACATTGACTTATCAATTATAATTATTTATATAAAAGTTTTAAGTATGTATCAATTTCTTTTTTTTTTCAATTGCAAAAGTTGTTTTGGTTCAAGTTGTTTGTTTATTATTAATATGTTGAAAGTCACCTATTACTAATTGAGTGTTACTCAGGATAGTTTTTTTATTGTTATATCAGTTTACTTAGTAGAGTGATAAATATTATTTATATAAAATGTTAATTTTTAATTTGTTTAATGTGTTAAATTCTAAAAAAAGTTATGTCAAGTTAAGTCAGAGAATAACTGATTGTATATGTACCTATATACGAAATAATAATTCTTAGTGGTTGTCAAATAACTTTTATTAATAATTTATTGAACACCTATAAGTATATTTATGAATATAGTTATAAAATTCTTTTTTTAATTAAGTACAATTTATTGGTCACCATCGATATAATCTGGAAACCAGCTTGCCATCAATTGTGTTTGAATTCTCATCGCAAACCATTCTCGGTCCTCTTCTTTCAATTATTTCATTAGTCTTTCAATTTTTCATATTGCTGTTCTTGTTCAATATAGCCTTCAATTTGTTGCATAGATAAACGATACTGTTTTCGCATGTGTGTATAAAAGCACATGCATTACTATTTTTCCTGCCATTTCAGGTGTATACATCAGCACACTTTGGTATGACAAGCATCTCCACATGCTCTTAAAAACACCAAAAAATCTCTCAACAACGTTTCTTCCTTTGCAATTCTTTCTAGTATACATATATTATCTTGTTCCTTCGGGATAATGTGGAAGTGGAGTTAAAAGCCAAGGTTCTATAGCATAACCAGCATCTCCTTCAAAAGTAAATCAACTTTAACAGAATTTAAAATGTAATATAATTTAATCAATACCAAGTACAATTCATATTATTTTAGTATTATTATTTATTACCAATCACCATGTCTGTCTTCCCCAAGATTAGAATGGTATTCATTGCCCTGCGAATTGGAGAAGTACTCCAAATGTATGAATCATTTCTTGCCCCAGGGAATCTGGCATTAATATTTAATATTTTCAAACCAGGATCAACAATATAAATTTAAAATAAATTAGCCGTTTGATTTACACAATAATATTTAAACAACCGCTTGGACATTCAGGGAATGGTTACCATGATGATTCTCATGTATGCTTCCTCATGTTCATTAGGGGCAATAATATTAATATGCGTGCAGTCAATAGCACCTTCAAAGTCTTGAGGGGCATTTACAAATTTTTGACGAGCATTTTGTCTTTCAACTGCAGTCATGGGAAAACGTACCCATCTCCTCAAAAGTGTATTGTTTATAGCATCTGTTACATTGTGAAGCACCTACTAACTGAGGGCTGACTCACATTCACCACAAAATTATCTCCCGTTGCTCGCTGGTAACCACCTTTTGCGTAGAAATTTATAACTACTAATACCTAAATGAAACAAAACAATTTTTAAACATTTTAAATAAACCTATTGTTACACTTAAACAGTGGTGGTGCTAGGGGTTTCCACACCCCCTAAAGATTTTTTTTGTCATAAGACAATCGTTTCAAAATTGTTATAGAAGAAAACTTTAAGGCCTTGCCTCAATTCACCGAGAGTTAATATTTGAAATCAATGAAGTGATTGATGAATTAGTTATAGTAAAAAAGAAAACTTGATTTTATTTTATAATTTTATTATGTACATATGGATATGGATAATTTAATAAAGTTTTCACCCCCTTAAACATAAGTAGAAAATACGCCACTGCACTTAAATACATTTTATACACATTATAATTGAATCGATAAAGTATTATATTATACTGCATTACAATATAAGAAGTTTATATTTATCCAAAAATATAGTTACTTGAATTTCCTCTGGAAGTTATGTACTGCGTTCTCGTTGAAGTTGGTCACGAATTTCATTAGTTAAGTCCATAGCTAATTCTGGACTATCTCGAAACATATTCAAAAACTCATTTCTTGGAAGATCATAAGGATTTTGAGAGTCCCTTAAAATTCTTCTCTCTATACCCCTTTCCCATATTTTAAACCTTTCCTCCAATGCCAACAAATCCCAACCAAGATAAAATAAAGCCATATTAATTACTATTACCTATTAGCTTATAGTAAAAAATTACGAGAAGCGAGTTAAAAAAATTGTATTAAATAATTAATATCATGTTTAATTAAAATTAAATGTATGATAACGATTCGATAATGCTAACGGCCATTCCTAATCGCCCGATACGATATCGAATATTTTTGCTATCATTTCGATACTTTAACGATAAATTATCGTTAGAAAACTGTCACAGATTCACTATATTGATAACTTTTCGATAGTCAAGTTGTAAAGTTGTCAATAACAGGTCTTATCGAGTTACAGAATCGATCTACTGTGGTTCTACACCAGTTATAGTGGGTCGATGTGCCGATGTGAACTATATTTCACTGTTTTTCTATGTGATGTTTGTTGCTTCTTTGGTGGGCGGCTGGGTTGAATCGACGTAGTATTTAATGCTTTAGTAGTTTCTTGTTTTGATAATACAAACTTGTGCTTTTCCGTGTAAGAAAGTTGTACCAAGTTGTCTGGTCTCAGATCACGTGCTTCGCCGTACGCTCTGTACGGCGTCCGTGAGTTTCATTGTTCGCCGTCCTTTTTCGTGTTTGTTCAATGAAAATGTTGTTGTGCTGGTTGGAAAATATATTGAACAGTGTCGTACCGTAAGATTTTAAGTGTCTCAACACTTAACGCTATCCGTATACGAAGTATTTACAAGTAAAACGTTGGAAGGTTATAACTTGGTCGGCGCGGTACCTATTCACTTTACGCTGGTCGCGTCCGGTAGATGGCGCAGGCCGTTTGTTTAGGAAGAATTATTCCTAATAATTCTGCCTCATTACAAATAGGGTATTTCCTAGTGTCTAGTTTAAACGGTTCACAAAAGGCTGAGCTTACTAAACACGTTTTGAACCTTTTAAAGGATACTAATGTTAATGTAGTTAGTCTAACATTTGATGGATGCTCATCAAATGTAACAATGGCACGGCGTCTTGGCTGCAATTTTAATATTGAAACATTAAATACAAAATTTGAAGATGTAGTTGTATATTTTCGACCCTGCACATATTATGATAAAACCAATACGTAATACTTTTGGAGAAAAAAAAAACTTTACTTGATGGCGATGGGAATATAATAGATTTCAATTTTATTCAACAACTTTTTATACTCCAGGAAACTGAAGGATGTCACCTGGCGAACAAGCTAAGAAAAAATCACATCTTCTTTTTTAAACAGAAGATGAAAGTTAAATTAGCAACACAACTTCTAAGTCAGTCTGTATCAGATGCTTTAAAGTTTTGTAAGTATACTTTACAACTTAAAGAGTTTTCAGAAGTCGACGGGACAGTGAAGTTTATTGAAATCTTTAATGCTGGATTTGACATACTGAACTCCAGATCTATCAGATGTATTGGAAACAAGAAAGCTTTGGGTGATGAAAATTTTCAAGATATTTTAAAATTCACAGAATTGATCACAAATTATATTAAAGGTCTTAGAAAGATAAATTTGTTACTATATTAGACTCTAATAGAAAAACAGGATTTCTGGGATATATTGTGTGTCTACAACCTCTCTTACACTTGCATTCAAGTTTAATAAAATCTGGGAAGTTGGAGCATTTAAAAATGTATAAAACATGCCAGGATCACTTGGAGATAATTTTTGGTAGTGTTAGATCAATGGGAGGTCATAATAATAATCCTACCTCTCGACAATTACAAACTGCTTATAAGAAGTTAGTTGTCCATACACATGATATTGGAAACTTTAATACAAGAAATTGTATTCCTCTTGATAACACTGAAATATTACATTATTCTAGTTCAGATCCGGTTAAAATGATAAATAATTCAACATTTAATCACAATGTTGATGACTTTATACACGACCATGATTATCTTTGCAATCAAAATAGTTATAATTTTTCTAATTTTTACCAAAGAAATTGTAATATATATAGCTGGATTTGTTGTCCACAAATTATCATCAACTGTTCATTGTCAAACTTGTCTACAATCTTTGCGTTCTAGTAATAAAGAACAATTTTGTAATTCTCTTATTGCTTTTAAGAATAGAGGAGGAGATAAAGGGGGTTTGAACTACCCAAGCGATGATGTCATTCTTATATGTCTGCAAACAGAAAAGGTTATGAAATCATTCAATTATCAAAATAAACCTATCAAGATATTATTTCTTCAGTCTCAAGTTCTCAAGCAATTCTATAATTCTTATATATTTAATTCCTTAAAATCACATGTTTGAAAAGTACTAATTGTTTATCTAATCATGTAATTTTATTAATTAAGTCTATTTCATGTACATGAATCGCTAATTGCAGAAACGGGACAAGTCCACTTTTCCTAATTTTTCAGGAATGATGAAAAACTGAACAACTTATGAAATGTTAATGTAAAAACTTCGACATTTTAGACTCTATATTTAGTTAAATAACTTAAAAATTTCATTTAATTTGTAAAAAAAAAAATTTTATAACTTTTTTTTTATTAATAAATTTAAGTTATGGACATGTCTCCTTTTTGCAGAAAACATCATTTTCATATCTTTTATATTGATGTAGGGAAAGAAACACTATCAAAATATGCAAAATATTGTTTTTATTCATCAATTTATTTTTACCAAATATAACTTATATAACTTATGTTATAATTAAATATAAATATAAAATTATTTTTTACGTTTTACAATTATTTTTTTTGAACTACAAATTATAATTAAAGCACATTGATGATATTATTTTTAATACATTTTTGTCATTTTGTCATTTTAGTCTTATACGTTTTCATCAGATTTTGAAGACCATTCACTTAATGGTTTCCAAAATCCAATATACTCATCCGGGATAAATTTCAATGTATTTTTGATATCTTCCAACTTTTTTTCGTTGATTGGCTACTTTCCGTTGTATGCTTTGTCGATTGGAAATAAAAAGCCCGTTGTGGAGTTTCGAAGACAAAATGTATGTTCAACCAACGCATTTATAAATTCACGACATTTAATTTCGTTTTTATTGGAACATGAAACAGTGAGGTGATGATAAGATGATAAAGCAAATGATGATTTATTAGCTCTCGGTACATTTTTTCCGTATGAGGCATTACTTAAACATATTTTTTTGTAATATGTTGGCCACCATTTTTTGTAATCAACTATATAGTTTTGATCAACTTTTACGACTGAAAATTTGTTATGAATTTTCGAAGCTTCGGAAATTAAATTAATGTATTGGTCTATTGTGTACATAGTAGTCTTTCGTATTTTACAAGCGATCTTTTAATCAACCCAAAATCACGGTCGTGAAAGAATGACCTCTCATTGGATATAAAACTTGTACTTCTTTAAATCTGTTATTTTCCACCAAACCCATTAAAAACCTAATAATTGCGTTGTTTAGGTTCTGACCTGCACAGTTATCACAAAAAATATAGAGGCGTTCAACTTCTTTGCCAATATCATTATTGATGTAATGATTTATAAATGATATGACTTCATTAGGTCCTTTACCAGCTACCCCCTAGTAAGATTTAATCTTGTAATTAAAAAATATCTACAATAGGTACATGGATTGTTATGTATAAAATACATAATCTGTCATGTACCTCTATAATATATAATAAAACCTATATAATTTTGTTATTATAATCAAACAGTTATAAGACTTTGGATACTTCACTGTTTAGGAGTTACACGATGCATTTCCGAACAATTGTGGCTATTGTCTTGCGTGAATATTGTGCAAGGCACCACAATATTACATTCAAGGAGGTAACTCCTCTCCACATCACAGATTTCATAGATGCACTGAATATAATACATGCTGAAATCATCCAGTGCATATTTGTATGCCTGTGTGTGGTGGAGTGCAATTCTCCGAAAGCTGTAAAAACTGTATCATATTGGATACGAAACCCCTGTACAGTCAATTCAGTACGTAGATAATTTTTAAATAATTTATGACCTTTTAGTGGTTAATATTGTATTAAATAATTTTCTCAAGAAGAAAGAAGTGTACGTTATCAACGTCAAATTTGTACAACCATTCCAGCCCCAAATACAGTTGGATGGGTCTGTTTTGTTGATCTGGTACTTGTCAGGAAATATGAAGTAGCTCTTGACAAGTAAATTAAAGGCTAGCTCTAAATCCTCCCCTTCATAACTTTTATCAAAAGTGTCAAAACTTCACTTACAGCAATTTCCTCTCTACTGGGTGTTGATTGTGGAGGAGTTTCTATCCACCAAGAAAATGATAAATGTAATAATGTTATTACAAATAATATAATATAATCTTACTCAATGCTAAAATGTTAATACATGTACCTATTGTAAATACAAAAACTGATACTAAAGTATAAAGTAAAATGTAAACCATATAGACACGTAGTATAAATATTTGTAACTGTTATTAATAAAACTTATCAAACCAGTACAATTTTTTTAATATTATTTATATTATTTATATTATTTTACAGGCAATTTATTTTGAAAGATTATTTTCAATCTGTATAATGATACCTATAGGTACATTTACACATACCCGTCTTACTTATTACCTACAGTTTACAACTACGTCTATATTATATACTTGGAATGGCGACGTAGCCACCGCTAATCACAAATTTGCGTTCTAAAAATTTGATACAAAAATGAGTTTAATTAAAAATAGTATTTGGCAAAAAAAATCTATAAATAAATTATTTAGGTATCACAGTTATATAGGTATAAATAATTAATTTTTAAATAAAATAAAAAATATTTTTACATTGGCCATAGGTAGGGAAAATGCAATTTAAAAATATTAATACAAATTTCTAATTCAATAATGTTCTTACGACTTTTAAATTCAAACCAAGTATAAGTGAACTTATGAAGTATTGATGGTTAAATTTTCATTTTTTTTCAATGACTGTATATAGAATAAATAAACATCAATAGAAAAAAAATTCTTAAGGTGGCCATAGGTAGAAACTCCACCCTAACCAATATAAGAATATACCCTTAAAAAATCAAATAAG